CCTCCTCCACCTCCTCCACCTCCACCTGCACCTCTGCTCCTCCTCTCATTCTCATGCTCCTCCTCTTCTCACGTTCGTTCCGCGTCTCTCCAGAGGATGCTCTCGCTCGTCCCTGCTCCCTTCACTGGCTGGACCTGGACAAACGATCATCGCCGCGCACACCAGACTTTCAATCCACTTCTCCTCCTCCTCCTCCTCCTCCTCCTCCTCCTCCTCCACCTCCTCTGACAATTTGACCCTCGTTGTGCCCACTACCTCAATCTGTTCCTGTTGCTCTTTCTCCCGTTTCCCAATTTCATCAACACTTGGATCAACACCTTCCTTCTTTGCTTTCTCCTCCTCTTCCCCCCTGTGCCCTTACTCTCCCCTCCCTCCTCCTCATCTCACCTTTGGAAGACTCTTGACCGCATCTGCCCCACACAGCGCAGGCCATTTGGAGGTCCGCTCAAGGATCCCCGCATTCTCCTTCTGCTCCGTCTTGAGGCAGCCATGGTTCCTGTTCAGCAGAGGAGCGCAGTTCGCTGTCCGATATCGTCATACTCATGGCGGCAGGCAAGCTGTCTACCTGGGTTGTCTCCCCCCCCTCGCTAGTCCAGAACCCTTCCTGTCTGCGCTCAGATCACTCCAAAGCAGCACATCACAACGCGTGCGCTGCTTCAACACCCGGACATGGACGCGAGAGAGGAGGGAGATGGTGTGAAGGGGAGCCAAGGGAGCATGGAAGACGGTAGCTGAGACGAGGAGGAGCGAGGACCACAAGAGAAGAGACGGGTAAAAGCAGGGAGGTGAGGTGAGAGGGGAAGTGGGGAGGGAAAGAGGAGAAGAGCGGGGAGGGAGGGCTTCTTACGAGATGAAAGCTTCGCTCTCAGAGCCGATTGAAAGCTTGTCTAACAGCGATCCGAGCTCCTAGAACATACAGACGTCAGAGACAGAACAGATGGACTGGGGTGAGGTCAAAACTACTTAACACACAGAAATTCTCCAGCCATCCATCGCTCCTCCCTCCTCTCTTATCCTCTCGCTGTCTGGACCCATGGTTGGTTTCTTCTCCTCCCCATCTCTTCCTGCCCTACCCTCTCCTCACTCGGGTCTGTACTTAATCATCTTCTCCTTGTCTCATCTGCCTCATCTCATCATCTCATCATCTCCTGTTCTCGTCTCCTCTTCTCCTTTCCCTCCCTCGTCCTCGTCCTCGTCCTCCCCCTCCTGCTTGCTGCTCCTGCTCCTGCATGCTGCTCCTGCTCCTGCATGCTGCTTGCTTGCTGCTGCTGCTGCTGCTCATATCGCCCAAGTTCCTGGAACTCACCTCCATGCGCGTGGATTATCAAATTTCTCACCCCTACTTATCATACCCCCTACCCCCATTCAAGTGACCCCTACCCCCCATCAGATATTGAAATGTCTATTTCTCTGCCTTAATGGATTTTTCCGTATAACCCCCCACCCACATTTTTCAAGTACCCTACCCCTTTCCTTGGGGTTTGAAATATCAGGGAGAGCACTTATTTGAGAATTTCCATGGGGGGTGTGGACCATGTGGGGGTACTTGGACTGAGGTAGAGGGTAGTCAAATACAGGGTACTTGAGGGAATATAGGGGTCATTAATTATGGAAAAAGAGGGGGTACTTCATAATGAAGGGGTCCATGAACCTGAGAAACTCGAGCACGGGTGGGGTACTGTTTCGCCAGTGCGGTTTCCCGCGCAATGCTGCAAAGACCAGGAAGGAGAGGAGGGAGGAAGGGAGGAGGCGGCGATGGAGGCGGCGATGTAGACAATGGGAGGGAGAAAGCTATCTTCATCAGGAAGAGTATGTCAGGAGGAGGAGTAGGAGATGGATTGGAAGGGAAAGATGATGGAGGAGAAATAAGAGTCAGGGAATGCAGGGGGCAGGGTGGGGCAGGGGTTAATGGCTGGTAGAAGCAGAAGAAGTGAAGTGAGAGAATGAGTTTGGTGAGAGATTTTATGAGAGCTACGGACGTTCTGCAATCTAAACAGGATCGATCGATAGTCTCATGTCACCAGAAGCAACTAAGAATACGTGCTGGACGAAACATGCACGTTGATTGGCACACTGGCTTGCCAGAGCTCAATGAGACGAGGCTCTCACGATGTTGCAGGAGGCAGTAGCATCATCTGCAATGTCGAAGGATTACTATGAGGTACCTCCCTGCTGGGTGTCATGACTTGTTACGTGACGGCAACTCAGGTGCTCGGCGTTCAACGAGCATCGTCGGAGGACGAGATCAAGAAAGCTTACAGGAAGCTTGCGATGGTAGAACACGGTGTTGCTCTTGGGTCTACCAGTGCCTGATCCAAAGACAGAAATGGCATCCTGACAAGAATCCCGATGATCCAGACGCGAAGGCCAAGGTGAAACGTTGATAGATGGGCACTTGGTAGTTTGATGGCTTTCTTCAACCAGTTCCAAGAGATCAGCCATGCATATTCCGTGTTGATTGATAAGGACAAGCGAGATAGATACGATAAGTTTGGTGATGCGGAAGACCTGGTAAGTCTGGTCGGGACTCGCGCCCATGGTTGCTGAGTTCGTCGTAGGACGACGATATGGACCTCGATGCCTTCATGAACATGTTCGGACAGATGTTCGGTAAAGTTTTTCTCACAATCTGATTGTTTTTGTTATGTGATAATTGTTTTGACCATCCGATGGTTGTTCATACTGCCTGATGTTTTTTCGTGTTGTTGACATCGGGTACCTTCTTGTCCTGTAGGCGCGGCGATGTTCATGGACGATGATGACATGGACGACTTTATCTTCATGAAGGGCATGGGCGGCATGCCGGGGGGAATGGGAATGCCGGGGATGGGAATGCCGGGGATGGGAATGCCGGGGATGTTTGATATGGAGAATCTAGGATCGGACGAGGCAAGGGCTGCTGTCTCTCACCTGTTCACTTCTCATGCAGTTGCAGGAGGAAGAGATACTTGAAGAGTTTATGGATGCGCACAGCGAGCAGGTGTGCTGACGGTGTTTGTGTATCGGTAGACTGAGAGTTGTGTCAAGATCGGACCAAAGAAATTTGTCTGTACTTTGGATGGAAAGGTGGGACTGCGATGCTGTTTGAAAGCTGAAATCTGATCGGCATACACAGCAATTCTCAACACGGAATATCTTGCGAGCTCACTTTGAAAAGGTCAGATGATCTTACAGAATGATGTCAATGTTTGTCGTTTGATGATAGAATGGTTGGACGTTTCCAAAGAGATAGAAAGACGGGATGGATGAAAATGAAAAGAGTTGAAGTGTGAGGAGGGGAGAAGAAGTGAACGCGAGAGAAAGGAGGAGGAGGAGGAGGAAGAGGAGGAGGAGGAGGAGGAGGAGGAGATGGTTATGCCGGTGGTGAAATGTTTGTTTCAGAACTACAAGAAGGAGGCCATGAGTTGGTACGAGGAACTTCAGAGCGGACACGTACGTCTTGTTCCCTCCCATTGACTCTCTTCCTCACTTGAGAATCCTCGTGCCACTTGCAGGATCTTGCTGGAATGGAGGAAATGATGGCGGCGATGGCTGAGATGATGATGGGACCTCCTCCGTCGCGGGAGAGAGGCCAGGGAAAGTTTACAGATAAGGGATTTAAGACGGTCGGTTGCTCGTCGACCTCTCCCTCCCCTCCTCCTCTTCTCCTCGCCCTCGTCGTTCTCCTCCTCCTTTGTACACATGTTCTTCTTGTCGAACCCCCCCTCTGCTCTGTCTCTCTCTCCAACACTGAGCCCTCCACAGGGCAAGAAAAGGGCGCCCAAGGTATCAGTTAACGCTCGAAGAAAGGGAAAGGTGAGGAAATCTCTCTCCTTTCCTCTTATTCATCTTCCTCCCCCCTGTCCTGTCGTGTTCTTCCTCCCTCCTCTCTTCCCTCCTTTGCCCTCCCTCCTTACCTCATCTTTCGATACACTCACTCCCTTCCTCTCTCCTTCACTGACGATCTCGTTCAGAGTGCTGTAAACTTGAATGCTGCGAAGAAAGCGGCTGCGGCGAAGCAAGCAAAGGTAACTGCACGCAGAGCTCTTACCCAGCTGACGAACTTACCCACCTGCAGTCTAGCGAGAGCGACAGTGGGAGCGTGAGCGACAGCGACTGAGTGCAAGGAGATGAAAATCTTGTTCGCTAACGAGAGGAATGAAGGAAACGAGAGGAAACAGCTCGAGCTTCTTACTGAAGAAACAGGGAGGGACAGATTTATAGAGAAGACGAGGAGCAATTAGGAAAGTTACTAGGAGAGGGGAGAGCCAGGGAGGGACTGAGGTGGGAGAGGAAGAGATGGTGTCACCGGCGCTTCGGGTATGGTATGTGAAGAGGGGATGAAGGATGAAAGGACGAGAGATGGAGGAGCACGAGACGGGGGATGTAGGGGAGATTCTGAGGAGGGAGGAGGCAGGAAGAGAAGGAGGAAGGAGGAATATAAGGGGTGAGGGGTGAGGGAGGAAGAAGATGAGGGAGGAGAGACGTGCCGTTCTGACGAGCATTATTGGTCTTGGGTGAGGAGGTTCATCATCTTGTTCTTGACCGTCTTGAGGTTCTCCTCCACGATGAGCTTCTGCGAGATCACGTGCGAGATGCACGCGATCATGCCGGCCGACATGCTGCTCGCTCCTCCTTCAGCTCGCTCCTCCTCCTCCAGCCCCTCTTCTCACCTAGAGCTTCGCTTTCCTTCCTCCAGGCGGCTGATGTCCTCCTCTAGCCTCGTCGGGTATCCTGCTGTCACGGCGTTGAGCAGCTCCTCCATGGTCCCCCACACAAGCTTCTCGTTGGCCACTGAGAGCTGGTTCCTGCTGCGAGGATGAGGAGAGCAAGGAGAGGAGGCAGAGAAAGAAGGGGAGGGAGGGGCGAGGAGGGAGAGAGAGGAGAAGAGGGAGGAGAAGAGAGATGGGATGGTTAGCGGAGAGGGGAGGGGAGGTAGGGAACCAAGGAGGATGAGAGAGTGAGCGGGAATGCAAGAGGGAAAGAGAGAAAAGGATCAAACCCACGGTAGAGAAGAGGAGAAGTGAGAGAGGGGTGGGAGGGGAAGAAAAGGGAGAGGACGGGAGGGAGGGAGAAGAGGGAGCAGCGGCTTTCCTTGGGTTGACATTCTTGTTCACGATCTCCTCCAGTACCTCCACGTCATCCTTGTCGCTCCCCCTAGCATCTCCAGTCAGCAGCGCGCGGGGGCGGAGGAGCTGGGGGACAGGTGGAGGATGCGGAGCATCGCCAGGAGGCGCCAGGAGGGCAGGCCGTCGCGCTTGAGGAGCTGCGGATGCGTTCAGCTGAGCTCAAACAGGGGACGGGGTGGTCGCTGTGGTTGGAGGAGGGGTCCGACCTGCTGGACGTCAGGCCGGAACTCCCAGACCTCCATGGCCTTGCGCTGCAGCTCGGTCATCTCAGACAAGTCCAGCTCGAAGGGGACCTGGTGGTCTGCGGTCAGCCAGGTAGCGCGTCCTTGACAGGGAGCTGGGACGCTCCATGGTGGATGGCGGAGGGAGGGAGTTGTGAAGGAGGAGGGAGTGAGTGTAGGGGTAAGGAAGTTTGGTAGAGTGGCGTGGTGTGGCGAGCTGGGAAGGAGGAGGGAAGGAGGAGGGAGAGGAGGGAAGGAGAAGCTGCTAGTGAGGAGCTGCTGGTGGGGAGCTGGGGAGGAGCTGGGAACAGGGCAGGAAGCCTCACGGTGTCGTTGGGGTTGTCTCGGTCGCAGAAGCCGAAGCGAGTGAGCTCGGACGCTGTGCTCAACGCGCCGTAGTAGATGAAGATCTGATAGGATAGCCCAGCTCAGCCCCAGCAGGTAGAGGAGTTTCTCAGCTCCACCTGTTCGCCTGCCTTGACAGGGGCGAGCAGCTGAACTTCGACTCTTCCCAGCTCTGACTTGTACCTCTGAACCTGCAGGACAACAGTGAGCAACACGGAGAGAAGAGAGGGGAAGGGAGGAGCTGTGGAGCGAAGGGAGGGGAGGAGAAGAGGGGAGTGAGAAGGGAGGAGGAAGGTGGAGCGAGGGAGGAAGAGGCAAGGAGAAGAAAGAGGGGAGAGAGTGAAGGAATATGTATACCTCCCCCTGGGCACAAATATGATGATTCCTACATGGCGGACCAAAAATCAATCCTCCTCCTCCTCCTCCTCCTCCTCCTCCTCCTCCTACATCATATCCGCACAAGGTACGAGGCTCGATACTTCGCATCCTGCTTCTGTTGCCCAGGCCCTGACGTCATACAGGTCAACGTCTTAGACTTTTTCTCTCCCCCTCTTTCGTTCCTACACTCCCCGGTACATTCTTCCAACTCCTCCTCCTCCCCCTCTTGCACCTCCTCCTCCTCGTCCTCCGCTGCTGCTGCTGGTGCTGGTGCTGCTGCAGCTGCTGCTGCTGCTGCTGCTGCTGCTGCTGC